CCCCCCCCCCCCCCCCCGCCCTCCTCGTTCCTCTGCGCTTTTGCCAGACCCACGACGAGGAGAGGGTGCTGACCCCCGCGTAATCGCATGCGGCGGTCGGGCGTATCTGGTCTGTGACGCAATTACTGCCTTGTTGGGTAGAATACTTGAAAGGACGTGCTTCCCAGAATCGAACCGCATCTGCGCGTGATGGTCTCGCTGTTATGCCGTCACGGCAATGGAGGTGCTTTTGTTCGTTTGTTGTTTTTTGGTTGCGGGTTCATACGTGTTTTCTCAAGTCTGTTGGTTGCCTCCAACCGTGGTGGAAAGACGGCAGGGTGCATGGTTTCACACATGCACTCGCCCGTCAAAATAATTTGGGGGTGGGTGAGCGGGGTTCACGGTGTGTTTGTCGAAACGCGAGTTGGTTCTTTGCAGCTAAGGTGTTTGGTATGTAGGCTGATCGATCTTCAGGTCCTAGAGTGGGTTCTTGCCGATGTGGCGAGGGAAAGGAATAGAGTGCTTGCTTCGCAACCCTGGCGATGTGGGCGATGAGACCCGTGTGCAGGAGGGGGTGCGGGTCGTTGGGGGGGGGGAAGGGTATTCATGTCATGCAAACGCATGCCGTAGTCGGTAGAACATAGAAAACGCACCCTGCGATGCCGGTTCAGAGCCATATGTCGTGTTTCCACCGGCCCAGTCTACGTGCTACAAAGCTGGTGATGATCCAGGGGCAAGGATACTGTTATTGGGGCCCAAGTAATCCTTTTTTGAGATGAGTCGGCTGCGCGACTTGATATTTCGTTATTGCAATCAATGGTGATGGTAACCGGTGATGGTGCTCTCGTACGTAGCGAATCCCGGCGATTTGTGGCGTTGGTGGCAGGGGCAGGGGGTGCAGTACGGCGTGCGTCTGTGACGAGAATAAGACACAACCGTTGCGCCCCACTTTGTCCACCAGATGGTAGAAATTGCACGTGAGAAAAAAAATCAGGATGGGTGAACTATGTAACACTTGAAATTACGCGGTTGCGCTTGATGCTCAGCATGGTCTGTTGTCACCGCCAAGTTTGTGTGGTGGAGGCATGCCAGCGAAAGTCCATCCCAAGGACAACATGAATGATTTGAGAGGAGGGCAGGAACGAGATGAACGACACGGCACCAACCCGCCCCATGCTTACTCCCTCCTACAGGTAGTGTTGACTACTTTTGTTTGCTTTCCACGGGAATGGACTGCTGTCAATGCATGGTGCCAGAGACCCTCTTCCGAGCACCACTAATTTCTCTTGGTAAACATTCTACAGCAGCAGCGGGACCCTCTCTGAGAACATGAACACAAAAAACGGTGTCATTCGTACACACAAGTACACGCGCCTCCCTGTTATGGTGCGATCGTCGCGTCTTGCAGAAGGTCGTCAATCAAGAAGACGCGACTAACGCAGGATTCCACGAAAAAACACATGCTGCCCAACAAGGAAAGGCTACACACCGGGTGTTTAAGTTTACCCGTAACCACAGCAGCAGGTGTACGCGTCGGTTGGACCAGTGCGGATATTGGAAGGTACCGCACAGATCGAAGAAACGTTTCACTTGAGTTTGACCCCGGTGTAAGACCACCTGAGCTTGCCTGAGACGGAACAATCAAAATCAATGTTGTGTCTGCTGCTCCGGAAGTGCCCTCGCCCCTCTACCGCCCGACCCCATACTATCTGCGGAGCCGCCAACCGAGGGGACACATCCTATCACTGACAGAAAACCACGATCGATCATCCGTGTTCGCGAACACATAACAGCCGTCAGTCACACCCAACACCCAACACCTTTGACAAAACATGTCGCTGAGCACAGCGGGCGTGGCGGGGGGAATCGCTCCCGGTGGCGGCGGCGCCGGCATGGCGATGGGGCCCAGCATGGCCTTCGGCGGCACAAGCATGGGCACAACGTTCCGCCCTCCGCCGTCAGCTCCGCGCGGGGGGGGTGACTCCTGCTGCGGGGGCGGCGGTGGCGGCGGCGGCGGCTACGACCTCCGCGCGGCCGCGTGCGAGGCTGAGGAGAAGGAGATCGATGAAGACACCCACGCGTGTCTCGGCGTGGACGTCGGGACGTCGAGCATCAAGGTCGGGGTCGCTGTGTACTACTGCTATAGTGATCGATCATGAGAAGTTGACGCGTGTGTTGTTGCGACAGATCCATCCAAGCGGACGGCTACCACACAGCAGTACCATACTGCCTGTACATTGCACACACTCCTTGTTCTGCTGTTGTGCAGCAGTACGCAGCTGTCTGATTATTTAAAGGCCCAGGACCTTTCTACAGAGCAAGGGTTTGGCGCCGTGGATACAGCAGTATTGCAAACCGTCGAACCGGTCTCTCCGGTGTGGGGAACGAATCATATGAGCGGGGGAACTGAACAATTTACTACTCCTGTGAACAGAGTGCTTTGCCTTTCTGAGGCGATCGCTGGGGATACATGCACATCGAATTTGTAATTTCCAGGTGCACAGGGCCGGTCACGAAGGTAGTCTAGTTGGTATCCTCGAAAACCTTTTATCGGCCGGGGTCCGGGGTTTGAATCCTGGCGTAAGCTAGCTTGCAACGTGCGTTTTCTCTCGCTCCGGTACCTGGCCTTCGTGGAAAGCGCTATACTACTACTGTGCTGCACTGCTGTAGTTCTCGTGTGTACACTGAGGAAAGCGCGTGATGCACTCTTCTCGCATTGAAAAATGAAGGCAAACTACCGCAGGAGGGGTGGGTAGGGGGCCTCAGGGAGAGGAACTCTTGTGTGTGTGACCACGGTTATACGGCACAAGTGCTGTGAGCGCTGACTTGAAGTGAAGACTACATAAAAAATAAACACCCATGGCCGCAGTTCTTGGTTCTAGACTGCAAACGAGCACTCTCCACGTGGAGAGCCTCGGAGCCAATGGGGTGCCCCTGTTGTCGATCGACCGGGAACCGGGAATAGTATACGACTTCTGTGCTACTCATGGGTACCGCGTGCATTTACGGAAGGTGAGCAGTCTGCTTTCATAAGTGGCCTGCACGCATGCACACCGGTCGAGTGGCACAGAAGTATGTGCTTGTGTACCGCCGGAGCGTTGTCCTGGCCGTCTTTAGCTCCCCCTGTCGTTGCTGCTGCACGCAACAAGCACACACGTCTTGCCATTAGTCAGCCGATTGCTGTCGTCGATGCTGAGAAGAAAATGCACACACACGCATAACAACGTGTAGTCCTGCTTTCCGAGGCTGCCTTTGCAACCAGCGGTCAGCGTGTTGTAGAGCGCTGTCAGTGCTGCGGCGTTGGGTAGCAGGCAGAGCTCTCGTTTACGACGGCAGTGAGCCCAACTCCTCTCTTTCCGCCCGTGTTGCAACACTCCGGGCTGGAGTTGATTCAAGATCTGGACGATGCATTACTTGATGTTATGTTGGACAGAACGCTTGTACGCAGCACGCTGAGCTAGATGCGCGTGACTTGGCCTCCGATGGTGGCGCGTCATGCACATGGTCACCACCCAACGGTGTAGGTTGGCTCCCAGATGAAATGGGGATAAAACACACACCCTATAATACAAGACTGACGTCTTGTCAGTGGTGAGCCGGGTAGCGCTAAGGTCGATCCTAACTACGAAAGCAACATACATGCGGCGAGGAGCTTAGGCTACCCCGTGACGCCCCTCACGGGGTCCCGGATCATGGCCTTAGTTAGAAATCGTTTTCTGTTTGCAGCCGGTCTGGGACTGACGCCTTTTCACTGGTCACCTAGTTGGCGCCGTTAATGCTAATGACGAGGACAAGACACACGCGTCACGCGTCCACGTTTCAATGCTATCCAAGAGTTTTTTGCATGGCCTTTGTGGAGACGTCTTGCCACAAAAATGTAGGCGCCATCTTAGAGTGTGAGTTATGCGTGACACGAACAGCAGGTCGTTGTTTTTTTTTCCTCCGCCAGACCTAAGCTCGATGTTTCCTCTCTGTACGGTTACGGTTGAGGTTATTGCATCGCAAGCTCCCCCTGATGAATGATGTGTCTGTGTGTCTCTCTCACGACCCACCGGGGGGTGTTCTCATAACGTTCAGGCATGCCTGTACCTCAAGGACGGGGGTTGCAAGACCGTCGGCGGCAAGACTCCTCTACCGGCCGGCATCCTTATCGACCGAAAGACCGGGGTAAAGGGCGTCCGCAGGTGAGAAAAAAGAAAAGAGAGACCCGCCTACTCTACGCGACAGAAGTCCCTCGTGTCCCTGAAACATTTTTCGTTCCTTAACCCCCCCTTCCCCCCCCTCCCACCTCGGTGTTTACCATCGGGATTGGGTTTTCGTCGCTTGGCAACGACGTTGCAAAATAAGCCAGTTCACTTCGTGAACTCGGCAGCCAGGTTACCGTTTTTTTTTACCTCTGTTTGTTTTTTTGGCGGTAACCATGACTGGTGGTCGAGTAGATCATGTTGTGCGGGGTGGAGAACCCTCGCTCCGCGGAAGGGGGATGGTCCCACCGCGTTGGGTTCATATGGTCAAGCACCCTCGAGGCAGTTACACAGTGCTTACAGCTGTGTTAGGAAGTGAAAGCACCAGAAAATAAATTAATTCACACGCAGCTGTCATCCATACGCAAGGAAGTAAGCACAAGATGCCGAAAACCCTTAGCACGATGCAGCGCACCCTTCATGCGACTTGCCGAATACCTCACGGCGCTTCGCGCTTGGTAATGTGAGAGTCTGGTCCGGTGAGAACCCGGCGTGCTCCGTCCCGGCTTTGTAGGGATGCGAGGTCAATGGTATAATGACTACGGCATGCCCGACTATGAGTACACCCCTCCCCCCCCCTCTTCTCTTCCCAAGTTTAACAACCAAGGCAAGCAAAACATGAGCACGTGCCCCCGTTCCATTTCCTTCGAAACAACAAAAACGCCGTTGCCCGCTCTCGGTCTTCTTCGAAGGTGGTTGAAGTCGCGGGCTGGTGGCGGCCAGGCCCCGGCCGCTCCCGCGAAGGGCGTCAAGTTGTTCCACGCCGCGGGAGGGGGCGGGGGGGGCAAGGGCAACAGCAGCAGCAGCGGTAGCGGTAGCGCGGGTGCGGCTGACGGCAAGGGGGCTGCGGTGGTGTGGCCGCTGCGGCTGCTGGCGCTGAGGGGGAAGGGCGCAGAGGTGACGCAGCGGGTGCAGTCCTCCCTCCGACACGACATCGAGTGAGCCTTTGGTCGTAGCTATGGTAGCGGCCTTTTTGGCGGGTGATTTTGGTGGTTGGTGAAATGTCGTTTGTTGCGGGGGTGCCGCTGCTCCCGTTTTTTTTTTTTTGAATTCCCTCGTTCTACATCTACTGTCGCACTGTTGCTTTTGTTGTTGTCGTTGCCGTGGATGGTCTTTGCAGGTATCAGTGCTTTGTGCTCTGCTTTTTGCTGCTCTTGTCGCGAGCAGTCCAAACTCATCCCGGGCGATGAGGTGTTTGCCACACGCCAGCGACACCAATATGATGGAGTGTGTATAACGTCAGACCCATGGCGTCGTGTTTTCAGCAGGACGGTGCCTAACCTCTCTTCAGCAGATCTAAGAAGATAGGCCTGCTACACCGTCAACCACGATGGACAACTGTTTGGGTGCGGCAGCTTCGTGAGAGGCCGAAAGAGCGAGGGGGTTAACCTCAAGGCCTTGTATCATTACCGAGGGACAGACGCGAGCGATGAGGCAAGGCATGCCCCCTCGCGTCATGTCCATCATACCCATATCATCATCCACGAATCCCAGCCCCCCACCCCCCGGGGGGCCCGTAAATCAGCTACTCTGCCGAGCACCCCCCAAAAATCAACGACACTGCTGTACCTATAACGCCACAACCCACGGCATAATGCTGTCGTGAGCATGACTTTGCCGGGCCTCTGGAGAACAACATCCCGCACCATCACCAACCAACGCCATAAACATTTTCCTGCCCGCAGGGTTTCCTCCGCGGAGTCAAAGGAGGCCACTGACGACCAGGACGATGGAGACACCTCAGGTGTGCGGGTGCTGCTGACCTCCCCCGACGCCTCGGAGACCAAGGACCGCGAGGTGTGGGTCACTCCCGAAGAG